TCAACAGATTTTCCCGAGATAAAAACTTGCTGATGCGTTTGATGTTGTGAAGCCAATAGAATGCGGCACCACATGTCTTTGTTATATGACATGACATTGATAAATTTGAATCAAGCCAAACTCCTGGATCACGAGCTATTGGTACAGGAAGGACATCGGCATTCCCGACAAGTACATGGCATGGATTAAGTTTCTGCAGTTGTTGCTTAGATCCAATTATTAGCAGTTCAGTTTTACCGTCATTTAGTTTCAATTTATCTTGAATCATCCATTTCCGAAGATCGTTGACACAGCTTTCCATTTCCATTATTGTTGCTGGTATTTCATCAAATGAAGCGCGGAAACAGTAAAATTTCGAGAGAAAAAATGACAAGGCACATGAGGATCTAACTGATTTTTTTGTTATTGAATTATGTACAAAGGTGGAAAAATGTGTTTTCCACCGTCAATTTTTATTCGGTTCTATTTTGTTATTTTTGCCTTGGTGGGATACAAAATAGGTATCTCTCAAAAGCTAAAATCCTAGTCTAAATCAAAGTTAAAAATTAAATCATTGAACTCAATATCCAAACACCATGGTCAATTTCACTGCGACAAAATCCAGACACCATTGTCATTTTCACCACGGCAGGATAGAAAATATGTATTTCTCAAAAGCTAAAATCCTTCTCTAAATCAATGTGAAAAATTCATTCTTTGCACTCAATATCCAGACACCGTGGTCCATTTCACTATGGCAGTCAAAGCTTTGGGCATACAAGAGCAGTAGGGTGACCACGTGCTTCTTTCATGGACGGTAGGTCTTTCCAAGTTTTGGCGCTTACGTCATAACATTCCACTGACCTGGTTCGTCCTCTACTACCATACCCGCCCATCACAACAATGAGATCACCAGTAATAATAGCTGAGAAGCCTCTTCTTGCATGATTCATCGAGGGAAGCATGCTGAATTTTCCTGACTTTATGTCGAACATGATCACTTCTTTTAACGGAATGTCGCTTCCTTTTTCCCCTCCAATCAGAATTACCTTTTGGAAAACAAAACAAAAGAATCATAATAATTTTTTACAGTGACATGGGAACGAAAAGGGATAGCCCCTCGCAACAATAGAGAGCTAGCACGTGTGCGACTCAGTGAATTCTATAAATACTGGAACATTAACTCCAAATAAAAGGTAACCTGACTGAGTCAGGCCCTTATGTTTTCAATCGCTAGGATTGATTGGCGGCGAATGAAGGAGCGCCTGATACAATTCTTTACCGCGCCGCATGTAAAAAGCCAGATTCTGGCTTTTTCGTCTGATTGGCCGATTAGACAAAAGATTTTGATTGGTTGGTGCTAATTAGATTGTACTATTGTTGTTGACATATTTTATAGTGATCACAGCTATAACTAGATTGTTGTTGTCGTTATGTGAAATTTTAAATTTCTCCTGCGACATTTTGATTGGATACCAAATATAAATTTTGCTGTGGGTGAAAAGCGATCGGATTAAGGTTTGTGTCAGGCTCTATTTGTAAAATAGAGCCTGATCTCAGGTTAGATAAAAGGCCATATGATTGGGTGAAGCCAACATGGTGGTTTATAGAGTGGTCTCTTGTAGGTATAAAACACGCGTGGATCTCGCGGGGGCGTCGCAGGAGCTGAAAATGACTATAAGGTTTTCCGATCGATGTTTTCAAATCAGTTTGCACGTTTTTAGATGTAAATAGCCTACTTAAAAGCTAAATGTAAAGGTAATAACGATTGACACAACTGCAGTCCATACTATTCTGTGTTTAGTTGAAATTAGTTCAGATAGACCAGAAAAACAAACGTTCGCTGGTGTCTCTCCGCGGTCAGATAACTCTGCTTTTCCTGATGAAGTGTTTCTAACATTTGCTTATTCTGAAGACCAATTACCCTAGTTTCTTAGGGCCATAGTAATTAGTAAAATAGGACTGACTTAATAAACAGTCGGCTGAAACATTCTGAAACTTTTGCATGAAATGATGTTGATTTTCCGTACTGAATAGACCTTTCCCCTTTTGAGTGAAATTTTGATCTAGACAAGTCTGGACAAAAATTTCATCATTAGCAATTTCATCAAAATTAGCAATATTCCGAAGTTTCGTTGCGAAATCTTGTAAATTGCGGATAATGTAGCCTTGCAAAGTTTGCCGTTTTCAGTCATTTCGCAAAACACACGGGAAATTGGTAATCAGAAGATCAAAACTGATTACCAATTTCCCATTTGTAATACAAAATGACTGAAAAACGGCAAACTTCGCAAGGCTATTTTGTTCGCATTTTACAACATTTCGCAACGAAACTTCGGAATATTACTAATTTTGTGATGCTCTTTCAAGCGCATGTGATGACATTTTTGTTCAGGCTTGTCTAGATCAAAATTTCACTCATAAGGGGAAAGGTCTATTCTGAATTTGCGAGTCTTACATGGTTACAAATAGATCAAAGTAAAGCAAAACAAAAGGTGCGTAAAAATTCGTGCCTGAGCTCACAATGCCATAGAATGAATGCTTTTAGCAACATGTTCACCTAAAAGTTTAGCTAATCTAAGAGACTTGCCAGAAATTAGCAGGGGTAGTGGAGGTAGAGATTTTCAATGTAAGAGTTGGAAAAGTTGTGACCCTCCCCTAGGGCTCGTAGTATACCCTTCACTGTGCCGGTGGCGTAACCAGGATCTTGAGTGGCGAGGGGGGAGCAAACATAAATTTTTAACATGAACCCGTGATCCCTAGGGAGTCCAAGGGCGTGCCTCTGCGGTTAAATTTTGAATTTCTAGGGTGTTTAGAGCATTCTGAGACGACTATTGAAGAAAAAGTATACACCCTAAAAACGCACATGGTGTAATGTACTCGGGTGAATATGATGCTTGTGATGTTACTCTGAGTGTATATCCACACCGGGCAAACTTGAAAAATATGCCTGGCCACGGTGGGAATCGAACCTACGACTTTTGGAATACTAGCCCAATGCTCTGCCAACTGAGCTACACGGTCAGGTCGGTTCGAGTACGTTATATTTCGGAACCCAATCTAGTTCCTTCGGCATCAATGTAATCTAATAATTATGTTTCAAGCCTGCCCAGTGTGGATATACACTCAGACTAACATCACAAGCAGCACATAATATCGTTATTCCCAGACATTGCACTTTTTTGCACGAGTCCAGATTTCAACTCTTCATAAGGAAAGTTCATAAGTCTATTGGGACGGCAGAGCCCCCCTTTGCCCCCGGCTATGCAAACATCCTTGGAAGGTCCAGGGCCATGCTCCCCCGGAGAGTTTTGAATAATTATCTCGATATTCTGAGACGAATTCCATGGAAAAAAGCAAAATTATTAGATCAAACAGAACAGAGTGTGGAAAACATCCATGTAACCAGACATATTTAACACACAATTAAGCAAAAATCGTATAGTGTAAACATCACAATTACTATTACTTATGCATCATTAATGCTACTTTTTAGTTCGATAGTTGACAATCTTGTCTGCTTGTCTTTCATACATCTCTTTGCCTTTATTATCTCACTGGCACAATTTTTTGCGACCTTCCCTGCCTGTTTGTCTATCTTTGATGACTCTCTCTTTTCAAGGGTTTGAAAATTTATGACCCCTCCCTCCCCTGCTGATTTCTGCTAAGTCCGTTATGATTCGGTGAAATTTGCTCAATATAACACATAATAACAGTTCCCTGGACTTTAACAGTTTTTAAGTACTGAAAAAACAAACATTTTATTAAGAATCACCTTGTTTTCCCACTGTACTGAGGAGGCATATCGAAGAGGGTAGGGTAATTTTGACACCACTTTGACTTCGTTCCTAGCTGGGTCATATTCCATGACATCATCGCAGAGGAGACCATCTTTTTTTCCTCCAAAAAGGAATATTTTGTCGTTTATCATCTCAGCTGCAAGGTAACCTATCGGTTTCGGGAGCTTGCACAGTAGTTTTGAGGAATAGGGTTTGCTTAGGAGAACCTCGTGGATTTCATCAGAATATGAACCTATTTAAAATAAACGAATATCTAAGGGCCTGTTCATATGGGCAAAAGTTGTCCCGGTTAGCGAGAAAACTTTTCGACACGTTTACAAGCGAAATATTTTTTTTCCCTTCGTGATTTTATCGAGTATTCTACAAAATCTAGGCCTACTATTAAAAGTCTAAACACTCACGAGAACAAATACAACAACAGACAAACAGAACCTCAACTATATATAACATAAGCACAATTTGTAGAAGACCCAAACGGCCAAATTAAAGCACGAACGAGACACAAAGTCCCATGCAAGGTGCTCACTGTCACAATACAACATACAACATACAACATATAACAGACTCTACAGTGTCAATGCTCAAAGACTGACAAGAAATAAACAGTACAGTTTTTAAATTAGGAATTGTGGCAAGGGCGGTCAGGCACCAATGTCCACGTGCATGACATGTCTATGTCAAATTTTGCCTCTAAACGGTGTCTGTACGTTTCTTTTAAAGAACAATGGCAACGAAAATTTTTATTGGCTATTTCAATCCTACTTGACAACCAAACTATGAAAATACTATCATTTCCTTCTCGAACATTTTAGTCTACGAATAAAATGCATGCAAACTTCGTGTTTCGCCGCCATCTTGGAAAAACTTTTTGAAAAATTATCTCGAAGGTCAGTGAACTTTGTGACGTCAATGGCTGGGTAGCACCAAAACTACAAGAGAGAATTCTATTGCGTGCGTGTTATGTTAGCTAAAAATATGTCGTTTTGAGCGTTATACTGGCCAACACTCTTCGCAAGCAAACAAGAGAAGTCTACATTATTAGATTAAAGAACTTATTAGTTTTAACATTATTAGATTAAAGAACTTATTAGTTTTAACTTCTTAGTTAGTTTTCTAAATTATCTTACAACAATTTGTAATATAAAGACATATCCACAGCATATATACTTTCTTAAACAAGTAATTGTAAGTCCATTGTACTTTTTATCTTAAGATGGATGAATAAAGCTATTATTATTATTAAACATATTGACTATCGAGCGACTGGGAAAGCAAGGAATGGCGCAATTTACAAAACAGGTAATTGATCATAAAATATTGCATTAGTATTTGCCTTGTTACACTCGAATTTCTGCGTTTATTTAACACGGAGTAGGAAATATACTATGAGAAATAGTGTTACAAACAAGTTACATACTTGGTAAAACTTTTCTGCATTTTTGTTTTGGCTCAAAGTGCACTACGCGTGGTAATACTCGGTATTGTTTATAGTCATGAAATTGTGTGTACCCAGCTTTAGATAGATAATGTATTTAGTGACGTAAATTAGCATACGCGCTTATTTTCAAAATGGCGGACAACTGTTGAACTTTTTATCAAATTTTCTCAACAACTAAACGCGACAAACCGGCCAAAATATGAAATTGAGTATTCCGTAAGTATACCTAATAGATATAAGTAATACAAATTTTGGTTGCCAATGTCCTTCAAAGCAACATTGTGGTATATTGATATACTCTAATATAATGCTTGAAAATATATACCTTCGCTGGCATTGTAACCACCAATCACAATCAACTTTCCTTGATAGACAAGACTTGAATGACCAAGCAAATAAAATGGCAAAACTGCTTTGGATTTGATCCATTGCAAAGGGCGCTGACCAACATCCAATATCTCAATACTGTCTGTACCTCCGCCATTGACAATAATCTGAGTGCCAATAACGACGGACGCGGCATGGGACCTTGGGACAGTCATAGCAGCAAGAGCAACCCATGTTGTATCACTCTGCCCTAACTGCATTTTTTCAACAGAGGCGAGTACAGTATCCCCTTTACCACTGCCTCCCATCACGATGACCTCTTCTGGGCCGCTTGTAGATTGAGACATCGATGCTCTGGATCTTTTTCGCGGAGTGGCCTGGTCCAAAAATAAACCACATCCAAAACATATTATTCACACTTGATCTGTGCTCAGAGCTTTCAACATAACCCGGCGGCCGCCGGAGCTCCGGCGGGTCGCACGAGGTTTACCGCCGGTTACTTTGTTGATTACTTGAAAAATCTCTCCTTCCTCCATTCTAAGCCGCTTTCAAACAAAGTTATTTTTCCTCAACTTAGTCTATAATTTATAGCCTGGTTATTTTCGAAAACGACGTACTATTTCGTAAAACAGATTTAGTTACTTGCCACCTTATTGTCGATTTCGTGTCACTTTTCACGTACGCGCGGTTCCCAAGTTCGTTGGAAACTTGCCGATTACGTTTCCAAGTTCAAATATTGGGCGTGAACTTTGCAACAAAGATCGCAAGTACGTTTCAATGTTTGAACTATTGTAAACAAATGTTCATAGTTCAAGTTGAAATTAACAATTCAATGGAAAGTTCTTGGTCGAGTGGGCTACCAAAAGGTTTGTATTTCATTGAATTGGTTATTATTATTGAGTATGAAATTTCGCGCCCAATTTCCGAACTTGGAAACGTAATTGGCAAGTTCGCAACGAACTTGGGAACCGCGCGTTGAAAAGTGACGTTGAAAATCGACAATAAATCTTGTTGAAGAATGAAAGTAGTGATACATCATAATTTGTGTTGCTATCTAATCAATGTATCTAATTAATTTGGACCTAAATAGACGGTCCCCTCCCTACAGCCGCCTACTTTATCAAAACAGACACCTACTCTGAATAATTCTGAAAGCCCTGTGTGCTGAACTCTAAACCTGTCTATTTTTTTAATCATTGACTGGAAGAAACAATTTTTATTCACACATGCGCAATACTGAACAAGACATACTGACATAACTTTTGTTACGAGTCTCTTTACAAAGAACATGATATACCATTTGTTATGGAGGGCAACTTTTTAATGTCCACCCCCTGTAGCTACACGAACAAACCTAAGCTAAATTAACTTTTTATATACTACCGGAAAACTGTATAAATTCAAAACTCGGTCGATTGCGCGTCCATGTTTCTGCCAGTTGGCATTCAAGACAGTGAAGAATCATAAGTCTTCCCACTCAAGTCCCTTTGGGGAGGGGCTTCGCTGCTTCACTTTCAGCTCCGTTTCGCCGCCTCTAGTGCTTTGTAAACAAACTAGGGGTCTGGGGTCCTGCTCCAGAGAATGTTTATATTTTTGATGCTCAATGACTGCATTTCTGGCATTTCCGGAGAGTCCATGAGGCAACAAGGAATAAATTTAAAGGCTATATATTTGTTAGCTTGGTAACTCTACAACGTATCTCCACGAAGAATGACTGAACCCTTGAAATAAACGTTTAGTCCCTTTAAAATAGAATTTTCTTCAAGGTTGTTCTGTTCGTTAGATGTTGGCAGTTTAAAATTACGACACTAAAAACTCACTGCCTTGAAATATTTTTTCGGGCGGAACATTTATATGGTATAACGAGATGTATAAAAATATTCACAAGGCTCTTAAAATATAGATCGGGCGGTGATCAAAATCAAGGAATTTATTTGATGTTGCTTTATAGTACGTTTCCCCGGATACAACTTAACCCTCGACCTATATATGTAGTCTGTAATCACTATAATAACTCCTTCCCATGCATGTAAGATATATTACTTACAGATCCTCTTATCTCGTCAATGATTTCCAGTTTTAAATTTTTCATATTGTCTTCAATTCTTTGTTGGTTCGCTTTTATTTCATCCAGTTTGTTGTCCATTTCTTTCATCAATTCTTCCTCTTTGTATTTTCTGTCAATTTCTGTCTGGCCATTCAAACTACGCCTACATTTTAAGTAACGACTGTATTAGTGATTGCTTTTATGGAGGTTGAGCAAGCTCGCTTTGACAGGTGCATGAAAAAGTAATCGAAATTTGGCACGTTATTTTGCATTGGGAAAACGGGAAGATTTTTGAGGGCAAGGTTTGCCCGGCGTGCTGTGATTGGCAACGATGCTAATCAGTCTGTTGTCATAGATTTTAATAGTGGAAATCACAGCATTTCAGATATGAAAATCGAGCCCTCTGTCCCAT